TGGGTACATCTCGAGGCGTCGTCTTGACAACATATATTCGGTCCGCGCGCCCTATGTCCGTCGAAACGATGGGTACACATCCTTGCGAAGCACTACGTTATATATAATATGCCTATAGATTATCAGTGTAAATTTCGCACGCATGTCCGTCGGTACGGCGGGTGAACACCCTAGCAAATCGCTGCGTTTAAGATGCCTATATAAACTACTTCGCACCGTTGGAACGACGGGTGAACGCCTTAGCAAAGTGCTGTGTAAAATTTGCCTATATATACTAGCAACCTAGATTTCGCGCGCCATATCCGTCGGAACGACGAGTGAACAACCTAGTATAGATAGATAATAATATCTTTATCGACACTTCATATCAGTGTCAATATCATGTAACGGACTCACCCCATTACAACACAGTCGATTTATTCTACTACTGGACTTCAAGAAGGCTGGTGGACTTTAGTAAGGCTACTGAACTATTAGAAGGCTTCTCGAGGTAATTTAAAAACTGTTGCGGTGAATAATAATGACGAAAGCACGTTGAAGTTGATGATTCACACAGTTCACCACGCTCATTGCCACTTGCACCGCCTCACCGAGAACGATCGCCAAATCAGGAGTTAAAACAAGAATGGGGAGAACGGCTCGCCCCACAATAGACCAACAAGACTAGATGACCTCGTGGAGCCACACTCACTCGATGGCTTTACCTGAACGAGTCACCAGCTGGTGGGACAGGGGCAAATGCGTGCTGTCATTCTATGACCCTTTCCCCAAAAGACTGCTAGGTATGATGATATGCCGGAAAATTTGAGCGGTTCTGGGCCACCTTCAAACGGAGATCAGGGCAGCAACATGCTGTGCAGGACCCAGTACAACTGGTTTGAGGACTGCACGCTCGAACAACACACATCAAACGTACGGGGCCAGCGGTATCTGTATTGCGTGTACCAAAACCTCTGGACCAACCCGGCCCCCCTTCGGACGCGAAACTCTGACGGTGGGCAACAGATCTCATGCTTATCCTTGAATTTACTAATCGGGACATAATTGCGCTCGACTGCGCCTTAGACAGGCACCACCATGTTTTAAAAGCTATCTTATTGGCGCAGAGATCATCGAAGGCCACTCCCTGTTCGTCGCTCTGCACCAAGCTATGATGGGACACTGGCTTTGCCACCGATTACTGCTGGAGATCCTGGTCGGGTTGGGGTGACGCCCTCCCGGGAAGCTTGAGCCAGCATGATGCTAGCTCAGACCTTCCAACGGGTGCTTCACGGCATCCGTCAGTCTTTGACGGGTCTCTCCCTCAACTCACTTCTCTCTAATCTCTCTCACCCCCAGCCGCAAGCCAAGCCGCCACGATGCACGCAGCCACGCACGAAGCATTCTCGCCATCTTCGATTAGGTACATTTAATGTCCAATCCATTGGTTCCCAGCGTAAGCAGCATGAGACCCTTCCACGAGACCTGTCGACGTACAAAATTGACGTCTTAGGGATCCAAGAAACTTGTATTGTTTTCCAAAGCGAGCAAAAGACCGGTACGTATCATCTCCTGACACTCCCATGCTCCAACCGTTGGCATGGAATTGGTTTTGCGATTTCTCCCCATTTACGCAAGTTTCTCTAACGATACTGGGCCCAATCTGACCAAGTTGGAGCCCTCCAATTACGTCTACCTAAGGCTCAACGAGTGAACATTGTCAACGTATATGCACCCCATAGCGGATATCCTGTAGAAGCAGCTGACATCTTTTACGTCGACCTGACCACAGCGCTCTCTCGGCTCCCCCAACGCGACACGACAATAATTCTTGGTGACTATAACGCAAAAATTGGTCAACGTCGCGAACATGAATCATTTCTTGGGCAATGGGGCCGTGGTCGACGGAATCGCAACGGCCACATTCTCGCCTCTTTCTGTGAAGCTTACGAGTTGTTCATTACCAACACAGTTTTCAAAAAACGCGCGCGCAACATCACGACATGGACACTCCGACTCAAGAACCACTGCATCTTTAACCAAATTGACTACATTATCTGCAGTCAACGAACAAAGACATTATGCATCAACGCGCAATCCTGGGGAGGTATTCTCACACCGTCGGATCACAAGCTTGTCACGCTCGACTTCGATCTCAGAGCTCTACGCGGACTACGCCGACGTCAAGAAAAAGTGCGATCCAGCGACGCTGAAACGCGCTTAGCGACACATCTCCTCGTCCGCGACAGCAAGTATCGCACCCTGCATCGACAACTTCTTGCGTACAACCTTGCTGATTTACCGCATCAACGGACAACCTCGGAACAACGCCGGACAACTATACTTCACTCTGCGCTAGAGGCTGCGGCAGACTCAGTTGTCTACATGCCGCTCGTCAGGCATACTAGAGAGGTGGATCCCGAGCTTTCCCGCCTCTCGTACGAACAACGTCAACTTCGGCAGCTCATCTACAATGATCATAGGCAAGACGTCAAGGCTTTACGTCTCAAACGGAATCGACTTCTTCACCGGATTCGAGATCGCAGCAAAGCTCTCGCTAGAGCTTTCATCGACGAGAAACTCGCCACTATCGAACAGTCAAGCCATTCGGCTCAAATGTTTGAAGCCACGCGAGCCTTTTTTCGACGGCGCTCACCATTAACCTCGTTATGTGACCCCACAGGTGAATATATTCTCAGTTGCGAAGAAGCAGGTACTAAGATCAAGCAGCACTTTCAAGAACAGTTCTCGGACCCCACGCGCTCTAACGTCGCCGACGACGGATCCAAGCGCCCTCTGGACAGCCCGATCACCGCGTACTAGCTCGAATACGCGTTCCGCCGCTTACGTAACGGACGCGCAACGGGCCCGGATTGCATCCCTGCCGAGTTACTCAAGTATGGATCAGAGCTATTAGCTCAACCTCTCGCCGACATCATCAATCAGGGACTTACAACAGGAGACAACATCCACCTGGGAGACGGGATTCTTCTTGAAATCCCCAAGCCAAATAAGCCGGCTGGCCAATGCGCTAGCCTCCGACCCATCTTCCTACTCAACAGCATCCGTAAGGCGATCTCTTTGGTGGTGTTTCGTCACATCTCCCCCAAGATCGAAGAATATCTGTCCCCGCACCAAAGTGGGTTCATACCCTGTCGCAGCAGTGTAGGCTCACAGGTGGATAGCAACACGCGCTCAGAGATACAAAGAACGATTTCATATTCTTTGGATCGACCTCTCACGTGCTTTTGACACCGTCAACCACACAAACTTATCTCCGTACTCAAGACAATTCTCGATGATGACGAAATTCGGCTGATTCGACTACTTCTTCGAGACACAATGCTCTCCCTCCGACTCGACAAATGCCTGCTTTCACCATTTGAGAGCAATACAGGTACTCCTCAAGGTGAGTCACTTTCCCCCGTTCTTTTTGTTGTATACCTCGAAGCAGCTTTACGAGATCTTGCCGGCCAACTCGACGTACCCCACGATCTCCTCGCTGACATGATCGTGTACGCCGATGACGCCGACTTTGTTTGCCGGAGCGCCGAAATTGCTACTCTGATCGAAACTGAAGCCTTTGCCATCCTGGCCAAATGGTCACTTCAGATGAACACGTCCAAGACCGAACACACCATCGTACAACGCAGCCTAACCGCGCAGTCCAAATGGATTACACGTGCCAAAGATGAAGAGTGGCGTATTACGCACAAATTAGGTTCTCTCTTCGGCGACGCCGAGAACGTATCCCGTCGTAAAAATTTAGCGACTGCCGCACTCCACCGCATGTGGAAAGTTTGGCTCCGGCCATCGAAGACTTCGGAAGCTACGCGCCTTCGCCTCTACAAATGCTACGTTTTGCCGATACTCCTTTACAACTGCGGGACCTGGGCCCTTACCAATTCCGTGCTACACAGCCTCGAAAGTTTCCATCGTCAGCAGCTGCGCAAAGTGATCGGAGTACGTTATCCAGCCACGATTTCCAATGACAAGCTTTACGCTCGTACCGAAACCCAGCCACTCCGATTCCACTTGCTTCGCTGCCGATGGAGCCTTTTTGGTCACATCCTCCGCAGAACTGCCGACATACCGGCATACCGCTTCATGGCAGCTTACTTCACTCCCAGTGAGACCGGCAAATGGAGAGGCAGACACCGACTTACGCTACCAATGGTCCTCGATGCCGACCTTCAAACACTTTCTGCAGGACACCGGCTTCAACGTACCCCAGACTTGTACCTCCTTCGCCTCTGTGCACAGGATCGTGCAGCCTGGACGGACTTAACCGAGGAGCTTATAGCGAACGCGCCGCTTAATGGACCCTGACCGAGAGAAGAGAGAACTGTAGAGAACGAGAGATAACCCGACGCATGCGGAAGTTGAGCCACTTTTGTGGCAAGACGGCTCGCGAAACGCGTTCACATACATACATACTGCTGGAGCTCCATGTCAGTTCGCCATTGAAACGACAGGGCGATGCAAGAAAGGAAAATGAAGCATTTGGAAGTCAGATGTCGCAGCTCCCAAGTCAAAGAACTACGTGTTGACCGCTACGTTCTTTGTAGGAATCTGTCGTTTTGTTTCTTACAATTAGAGACCGAAAAGGTGCCTCAAAGACGGTAATATGATATGATGCTAGGTAATGTTCAGATGTGGTTGAGGGTAGTGATAAAACTTTTACGTAAAAGATGTCTGTGTGATCGTCATGCTTATCCGAGTGGCATTAGATGACCTGGTGCTGCCGACAGAAACGTGCTTCAATGATTAAGCACGTTCCCATCCATTTATATCATAGCGGTGAGCAGTGCCATAAAAGATGACACCTCGTAAGCTCAACTGCTACAACAGTAAGCAAGACGTGCCGCTGGAAGCGTGGTGACAGCGGTGAAAAAATGACGAAATAGAGTACGGGCCTACAAGTCTGCTTTAAAAATTGTCGAGCAATAAAAGTATGTGCATTGTCATCTTGAACATTTAGCGCTCTGTCTTCACTAATTCTTGTTTCAAGCAATGAATGCTTACTCCATGTGAGGGTGATCATTGTCGTATGCACCCAAGTCATTAATCACTTGTCCACCATCTACGACAACAGGGCGTGGATCAAACAAGTAGCAGCTGCTCAAAGGTTACCGAAATAAAAAAAAGTAAGAACCGTGAGTATAACATTTTTTTTGAAAGCTACATGAGCACTTTGCAGCAAGAATGAGCTTACATGATGCGTGGAGTCGCAAGCGGTCGCTGATTTTTCCAGCCTCGAATACTGGCAATCTTGGGGTATACATCTACCATTATAATCATAGCGTCAAAAGTGATGCACTTTACCACCAATTGGATAGCACTTTTGCTTACCTTCTAGGAAATAGTAGATATGTCCGACAATGATGCCCATTAAATCGGTCGTCGCGCTATTTCCCAGCAAAATCGAAAAGGAAAAGAGCACCCATGGCAGATACGGTGCCGTGAAAGGAAACAGACCAAGAAAGCTCATTCGGACGTGCTCGTTACGTCGACCCCATAGATACACCATCATAAACGTTAACGACGAGCCAAGAAAGTGAATGTTTACGAATGGTGCAACTAACTGTTATATATACACATCAATACAATTCATATCATATCAATAACACACCAGCATATTTAGACACCAACTACTAGACTACATCACATGGACGTACAATCATTACTAGAGCTCCCAGTAGCAGCATGTACACAAAATCTGCTGTTCGATTGCGAAAAGATCCTTCCTCTAATAATCTGCAATAGCGGACACTAGCAAAAGCATAAACAATAAAAATAGTGTAAATCTCGACATTATTGCAAAAAAAATGCGACCACCAAAATGTAGCCATCTCTAGAGCTACGACGTACACAAAGTACATGTGAAATAAAAAATCCAGACTAAAAAGTCCAAAGAAGAGAAAATTCGTCACAAGACGCCACACCTGTTGCAATTTAATATCAAAAGACAGACACACACAAAATATAGTACGAGTCACTATGCTATTAACTTGTACAGGTCAGAGTAGAATTTGACATAGACGTACTTGTCCTTTCAAAAAAATTAAATTAAAGTTGAAATAGAGCGAAAAAGGCGACACCAGATCCAATGCACAAGCCGTAGTTGTCAAGAAAGAGCCGGTCAGGTATAGACGTGAAACAATGGGGATGTCATGGTACCATTCTAATGGATCATTCATTTTTATCCCCCCGACTTTGACTAATAGAGAGCGCGTATGAAATGATGCCACTTGGCCGAGGCCCTGAATAAAAATAACCCGTGGGTCGAATTGCAAAACCCACGGGCTAAGAATATTATAAATCATAAAAACAGAATTGTTAAAACAAAAAGAGTCGAATGATAAAAAAAAGATAAAAAAGTTGCTACACTTAATAAAAACAAAACCACGCAAAGAGATAATTGTGATCTAGTGTATTATTTTCTATCCAACCTAAATAATCGACTTACGTCGAAGATGAAGTGACGGATGAGACGCTTGGACGCGTCTGGAGTGATGTGAAGAGCGTGTTGGAAATACACTTCTCTTTCGATTATCATGAGATGGTGACGATAACGGCGTCCGAACTTTGCGACGATGACGACGAAGTAACATTGAAAGAGCAATCGATACCGTCACGGCCACTAACACATAAATCTCAGGCTTGGCTATGATTGGTAGCACATTAGGGATCATATCTTCGGTAGCCCTGGCAATATTGTGCTCAAATAGACACGATGAAATCCGGCCTCGAGCAGATCCACAGTGCTCGACCAAATTACAAATTGTTCCTTCAAGCATGTGGCAGGACAACTGCATTGATAAATGCGGTGTATCACACGAAATCTTTTGAATCATACCAGCTTGGGCGTCAATCATAGTAATCGGATCATATTCGGGCACCACAGCAACGTTACGGTGATGCAGACTTGCTCGATCGACCTTCATTGATGTTCCGCCAATGTGGTGGACCAGTTTACTGTAGCTCTGAACGATTCCAGGTGGCGAAAAAGTTACCGAGGTCGTACCGACTATGGAGCCAACAAGTCGCGCAATGCCTCCGCCCATGGAATGGCCAGTCAGCACCACTTTTCGATCGGTAAGAGAGGTCACATAGTCCAGAAGCTCTTGATAATACCACGATTCATGTTGCAAACCAAACAATCCAATCATCTCACTGTACAGCTCAATCAAAGTGGAGAATGTCACGTCAGGCCAAATACGAATCGTCGGGAAGACCGACGACAAGACTGAAAAGACCACGGGTTCAAAAAACATCTTCACATCCTCGATAAAATCTGTGAATCGCCAAATATCAGTGCCTCGCACAGAAATGACACTTGTGTTAAGCTTCGGAATCTGTGCTTCGAAAAAGTCTAGTTTGGATCCAGTTTTGGTGTTCAATTCAGGCAGATAAATATGAACAGCTCCCAGCTCATTGTCAAAAATGGTCGAAATGAATTCTGCAGTGTCATTTGACAAAGGGTCAAAGTATGCCGCTTCTGCAAAGAAAGCTAAATCAATCAAGCTCAGTCCGTTCCAGCGATTGGAGCAACTTGCGTAAAGCGGGTCGTCTACCGTAATTGCTGGATTTGTCTTGTTTGCAAGACCAAGATGCAACTTGACAACTCCCGTATGATGTATGTGGATCGAGTTGTTTTTATACTCCACAGACGTGGCATCTGGGAACCACTTGGCGCTTTTCTGAAGAACTGAGAGGACACTGAATCCCGAAAGTGCACCTACGAATATCAGTAGAATAGCAATCGCAATGTACACACATTTCTTGGCTGCACTGTGGCCCAACAGTGGGTGTTTTTTGTCAAATGATGTTTCTTGCAGCATTTGCTGGAGAGATTGGCCCATTCCGCTCAAAGACGAAGCAGCCTCTGAGCGCAAGAAGCGGTCAAAGAAAAACAGACTCACCACAACGAACACGTGGGGCTTCTCTGTCATCTTAGAACCAACGAAGACAACTGTAGCGATTCCAAGTGCTAAAGGACCGGCGAGAAGCACCGCACGGGCGCTTAGCAAGCTTACCATTCGAAGACAGATGAGCGATACCACGTAAATCGACGGCAGCAATAAGTTGATAATGGTAAGCTCCAGCTGAGCGTGCACAAATCCCATGTTCGGATGCACGCAAGCTCGAAAAAAAACAATGCCCTGACCAAAGACGAAAGTGAATTTGAGCCGCTCAAAGAAACCCGAAAGTGCCTTTTTGTTTGAATCACACTCGCTAACGTTAGGATATGTAAAACACGTAATCGCCAAGAACCAAATGATCCATCCTACGAGCAAAGCCATGCCAAAGATTTCCCACTGGTAGTTTGTGAGGTCGCTCAACGGCGTGACCTTTAGACCAAAGTGCCGCGCACTCCATTCAACAGTCCATAACCCACCCAAAAAGTTCATTCCCAGCAACCATCCGCCTAGAACAAAAGTCTTTGTGGTGCTGAGTCCTGCAAGCGCTGAACGCCATCGTGGTAGAATCTCCAAACAAAGCTGGATAAATTGACAGATGGCAATTGCAGTAGATATACGCAGCGCACGTTGAAACACCGGGTGCTTGTCCGTCAAGAGCTTCAAGTAGGACTCTTCGCACATGGCGTGAACAAGGGTTGACGATTCCTTCAACACTGTGCTAGTGCAGTGTGAAGGCACCGTTATCAAACTAGGTAGGATGATCAGCATGGGCATGGCCACGGTAAAAATTACTGCTTGTGGAGTACATTCACACGCAATGATACGTCGAATAAGAGGAAAATTCTGTAGTGATTGCCACGTGAGAATCCACGTTGCACGTCCGAAAGACAACACAATGCCCATCACCGACACGTACACCACCAGCACGCATATTGCTTGGATGCATGGCATCGTCACGATTGTGCTCATATTTTCACCCAACACAGCTCCGACGTTAAATAGAAAACCCCAAAGAATTGCTAATGCTTGTAGCATCACATAGACAAAGAAGAACGAAACGATCGTACGTGCACTATCAACTCGTTGAAACAAGAGCTTTGGAAAATCCACAAACGTCATTCGCAGTGCTGCCTCCCAGCGCAAAATGCCTTCAAAGTAACGACGACGCCATAGCACCAATTGCGTGCATCGGAATGCATTCAACTTGCAGTATTGTAACGAAGAAGGGAAAACATGCTGCTTTTTAGTGCGACTGTTCGTCTTTTTAGGCGAGAATTGCTCATCAGAGATACCGTTGGATTGTTTCCGGAGAAAAGATCCAAGCTCTGATTCAGGAAGGGACGAAGGACGTGGAGGTTGTGAGTTTCTTGTGTTGGTCGTGGCATCGGTTACTCGATGTGTAGACGGAGCCATTTGCTTGAGGATCTCGTGGTTTAATTGGCTTCTGACCGTCTCGTCCTTGAGCTGAAAGTCGCTACTATTACGATGTCTCAGGTGGTTTTTAACCGATGGAGTTATTGTTGCTATGTTTGTTTTTAGCCAATCCAATTGTTCTAGCTCTATTTTCGATCAATCGGGTACGGTCGCATACGCTGCGAATAGATCCCCATTCGGATGCTTTTATTAACATAACGCCAAGATCAATTGAAACTCTGTTATAGTCATGGTAAGAAACCATACAGGTTACAATTATCTGATACATGTAGCTTCAGACAACCGACTGACTACTTGTATAACGACAAGCTTAAGCTTTGTATGCCAAGTAGGCCTCGAGCATGTTCGTAGTGGCACTGTTAAAGCCCTTGACGGGAGTCTTGTCCGTTCGTGAAGCATTGAGTTGCGCGCGGACCTGCTTCGCAAGCACCTTGCCGAGCTCCACGCCCCATTGATCAAAGCTGTTAATACCCCAGATAGACCCCTGCACTACCGTACGATGCTCGTACAGTGCCAGCAGTTGGCCGGCTGAGAACGCATCTAGCTTCTTGAAGAGCAGCGAGATGGAAGGGCGGTTGCCCGGAAAAAGCTTGTGATTGCGCAGGTGCTCGGGCACATTCTCGGCCTTGAGGTCCTCGAGCGACTTGCCGCGCGCCAAAGCATCCGGCTGCGCAAAAAAGTTCGACATGAGCTCGTCGTGGTTCGACACGGGTTCGCTCGCAAGTTCCACGGGGTTCTGTGACTCACAGAAGCCTAGGAAGTCACAAGGCACAACTCGGCCCTGGTGAATAAGCTGATAGAAGCTGTGCTGGCCGTTTGTCCCGGGCTCACCAAAGTTCACTTCTCCGGCCTGAAACGGAAGGTCGACGCCTTCCATGCTCACGCGCTTGCCATTGCTCTCCATGTCCACCTGCTGAATGTGTGCAGCGAAACGCAGCAATGCCTGCGAGTACGGCAACAGAGCACGTGAGCTGTGGCCGAGGAACGACGAGTTCCACACGCCCAGCAGACCCATGAGCACAGGCAGATTACTGCGCAACGGAGCCTCCAATAGATGTTTGTCCATCGCGTGGGCACCAGCCAAGAACTGTTCCGTCACATCAAAGCCGTACTGCAACGCCAAAGGCAAGATACCCACAGCGCTTGTGACGCTGTAGCGGCCACCGACCCAGTCCCAAAAGCCAAAAATATTGGCACGATCTATGCCAAACTCCTGCACTAGCGGCACGGCCGAGCTGGCCGCTACCACGTGCTTAGCCACGGCATCTTCCTCAGCACTACCCTTCTTAGTCAGATCATCTACAATCCATTTACGAAGCGTGCGAGCATTCAGCATTGTCTCTGCAGTGGTAAACGTCTTGGACACGACCACCACAAGTGTCTCTTCAGGATTCAAACCACTAGTAGCACGAGCCACATCCACAGGGTCAACGTTAGCTAGAAAGCGAAGATTACGACCCTCAGCAGCAGCTTTGGCCACGGGTTCGTGACGCAACGCCTCAAACACAAACTCGGGACCGAGATAACTACCACCAATACCGACAGAAATGACATTCTTGAGCTTCTTTCCCGTAGCACCAACAAACGATCCAGCCCGTACTTTATCAGAGAAAGACCGGATCGACTCCAATACCTCGTGAACGTCAGGCACGACGTCGTGGCCATCAACGACAATCTTTTGTGACTTTGAGGCACGTAACGCCATGTGCATTACAGCACGATCCTCTGTGGCATTCACATGCTCACCTGAGGCGATTGCCTGTAGCTTCTTTTGAAGCTCAGCAGCCTCGGCCAACTCGACCAGCAAGTCGAGCGTCTTGGTCGTTGCATTCTGGCGTGAAAAATCGAGGTAAATGCCCTCCTGTTCCGTCCGCATGGCAGCATTACGAATATCATCGGTCAAAAGTTCTCGTAAGTGTGTGGCCTTTATCTCGATGGCATGCTTGGCCAGAGCTTTCCAAGCAGATGTATCGTTAATCATAATGGAAGAATATCAAAAAATAGGGAGATCTCAGATATATGTGTGGATTGGGAGGGGCATGGAGAATACTGTTAAAAGGTATAAATATTGATTATAACAGGCACTGTACGAATCTATTTGTATGAGCTGACTAAAAAAATGCACACAAAAGCACTTTGTAAGAGCACATTTGTTTAAAAAAAGCAAAAATCTACTTTTCTTTGCATTAGCAAAACAATTGTCCTTTGGCTTTTTGCAGCAGAAAGTTGCGACTTCATTTAACAGCCAGAGCAACATATCATAACGCCACGTCAAAACTCAAATCTTTTCTTGCTTGGGTGTAAAAAGCAACGAACAGCTCAATCCAATGAGTGCTAAAGACTCTTGGCTTAAGAACTTGACGCGTCAAAAGGGAGGTTTCTGGGATGATCTTTATTGGTACGACTTGCAGCTCGAACGACGTCTTCCGCAGGCTCATATGATGCTTCAACAGCTGGTGCTTTCTCTGCCTCCATGTGGTGATAAACAGGTGCTGGATCTCTGTGCAGGAAGTGGGCGTGTCTCAGCAGCTGTATTGGCGGCCTATCCGACAGCCCAATTCACGTTAATTGATGCGTCCAAGCAGCGGTTGACAATGGCGCGTCAGCGTCTCGAGCCACAGAAAATTACTACTCATGTGATGACGTTGACACCGAATGACTCGATACAATTTTGCTCTCAAGAGTCCATGGACTTGGTAGTGGCATGTTTGGCCTTTCATGTGCTAGTGGAGCAGCCTTCACATTATGCACAGACACGAGACGAGGAGGAGCTGGACGTGAAAAATACTTATGAACTTCTTTTTCGAGCGACGTGGCGTGCATTGCGTCCTGGAGGACACGTCGTATTTGGAGACCATGTGGGACAATTGGGCATGTTCCAGCAGCTCGAAGCGCTTAAAAGAGCGGGGTTTGAAGACGTTGACTGTTCGTGGAGAGTGGACGACTCGTTCGTGGCAGGTGGACGTAAACCGCTGGCATGATGTGTTACCTTTTGACTGAATTAGTAAAGTGTTTTCATACCCATGGACATTTCAAAAGGGTCTACTGTATTGGCACAAAATGGAGAGAAGTGGAGATAGGAATCTTGGAGTTATCTGGGCTTGATTCTAGTCAACTTGACGTTCTTTGGAAGAATAAATGACGCAGGTTGGAAGCTCAACGTTAACTTATCGATAATATTCAAGGCTTGAGCACGTGATAGTTGTAGGAAACATTTTCTTCTTCTCTTTCCCTAGAATGTGTAATCGACATAGAAGAAAGCCATTTATATTGATGCAGGCGACAGAATCTGGTTGTAAGAAAAAAAATCTCGCGAACCGAGTTGGCAACACGAACGACTGGTCTTAAAATGGCTCGACATTCCTTTGCTATACGTTTCTAGCACGACAATATTAATTATCACAAATTACTATAGTGTTAAACGGTGGGTTTTTTTATGTCGTGCATCCATAATTCGACATGATTCTCTCAAACAGAATTACTAAACAATTCGTTTTGGCTTCACCTTCGCATAAGTTCCTTAACACCTGTGATTATGTAGCAACTAGCGGACTTAGGACGTCTCATGGACCGTCCGATTGGTGCTCAAGGCAATCAGTCGCTTACCAGCTCATCGTGCTCTTCGTCTATTCTAGTGCCAGAAAGATTCATGCGATACATACTTAGCAAATAATGACGTACCTGGTCGACTCGGGAGCACATATATTCACCTTCCATTCTGTACTTGTCCATGACGCAATGTTTGTGCGTGCCATGATAAGAGTTCATCCATCCACATTCTCGTGAGTGCTCGGTACAGTCTGTTCTCTCAGTTGCTTTTGCTTTGAATGCAAACCTCTATATGAGCACAATAGCAAATCAGTTATAACACATCTACACACACATACACACATTAAGCAGCTTTCCAACAAAAGCAAGATCTCGCGCACACAACATTGAAGGCCAAGTTCATTGGATTCGATCTACACATCGCGGCAGCACGTTTCGGTTAGCTGAGGCCGTTGCGCGTAAACGTCCTGTGACGTTCACCGTACAAACCTTCTGCATGCTCATTGCAGTTCAAATCGCCCATCCATTGTAGTCCGACACCGCGACTTCTTGGCACGTAAATGAAGAAAAAAATGGACCTCACGTCTGCGTCTTCGGTTCTTCGTCGTTAAAGCACTCAAGAGAACTCGCGCTTCTCAAACTTGTCTTCTGGATAGTAGGTCACTTTAACAATGTTTCCGCCGAACTTGCGTCCGTTTAATGCCTATTATTACAAATTGCATAGCTAATGAGAAACAAAGACTCATAAGGCAAAATCAACGTGAGCAACGATCTTGTACCTTCAAGGCGGAAGCTGCATCTTCTTTCTTCCCGAAGCAAACGTAGATGCAACCTAAGCCAGGGACTTCCTCTCCGGTCTATACGTTCATGAGCAATGTAAAAAGTATTAGTCTATCATCCAGCTATTTTATGCTTTATCACATAGCAGTACTTGACAAACCTTAGGACGCGGGATCTCTAAACCCGTCACATTTCCAAAGCGCTTGCATTCCTCCTCTACATCTTCAGCAAGATCAGCATATTCTTCGTCATCCCTCAGTTCTTCCATAGAAATCATATTCGCCTAGAGCAAGACACAAAATTAATACAAATTCGGCTCTACAGAACAGAGAAAACCTTACCATTTTTAAAACAGCACTGGGCTGATCTTCAAGACTAGGAGCCGCTTTTGGCAATATTCCAAGTGCTGCTCCGCTAGCGAGAGGCTGGCGTTGAACCGACAAAAGAATGCCACCAATGCTTAGTCCGTTCAAACCTTCCACGGCTTGCACAGCGACGTCCTGGTCCTCATATTCGAACAGAGCACTACCCATGGAGGCACCCGTAGCAGCGTCCTTGACCAATGTAAAGCTTCTAAGCGCCCCAAACGGCTCCACCAGCTCCTTCACTTGGTCCTCCGCTAACACGACTGGAATATTGGACATGATGAGGTGATGCGAGCCGGCATTAACCGCCGTACCAGTGATGGCAGGCTTTAAGTTCGAAACCACAGCCGTAGTTGATCCTGATAGAGTGGACAAATCTGCTGTTGCCTCCGTAATGCTTGGAATAGAAGGCTGCGCGAACCAAGCCGGATTAGGTGTGCAGCCCAAATTTGTAAGGGCGGTCTGCGTACGCGCCTGAATCTGAGGCATAGGTTGAGGTGGACCCATGAAACTGCGTGGTCGGCCGAACTTTAGTGGCTGGCCCAGAAGCGACAACTGGTTTAGTAGCAGCGCCAAGTTACATTCCTCGACAGAGCGCATTTCGCAAAAAGCAAAATGACCATCCGTGGAAATCCACGTGTTAACAATGGGGTTTCCAGGCTGTGTCGTGAGCCCCACCTGTTGAATGATGGTACTCAGAAACTCCTGGAGCTGCGGACCCGTCACGTTAGGAGGCAAATTGCCAACGTACAGTTCACGCGCCGGTTTCTGAGCTACTGCAGCTGCCATCGTCACGTTCGACGCCTGCATCTTGGCGATAATGTCCTGCAGACTCATGGTCGGATATTGGGCCATTAGTTGCGTAATAGTTGGATTGACGCCCGCGCTTGGGGTAAGCGGAGCAGTTCCAACACCAGCAGGGGCAGTCTCTGTGGTAACAGGAGGATGTTGATGCGCTTCAGGCGAGCTGTTCGCATCACGACGCGGTTGGTCGCGTGAGCTCGAACGTTCCAAGCGTCCATGGCCACGACTATAACTTGGACTACGGCTACGACTGTAACTACGTCCTCTACGTCGACTACGACGATCACGGTTGCGTCCACGTGAACGTCTGTCTCTCGTCGTAGAGCGTGAGCGAGAGCCACCACGTCGAGCACGACGACTCCGTGGCGGAGAGCGCGAACGTGAATACGACGAATAGTGCCGATGGCGACGACGACGAGAAGATTTCGACGGCGATCGAGGCGATCCTGACCGCGAGCGTCGACTACTCTTTTTCAATGAGGAAACTCGATGACGTTCCTTCTTTTCGTTCTCCTTCTCTTCCGTCACTTGTTTTTTCCCACTTTCCTTCTCCATTGTTTTCCTCGGCTTGTCTTCCTCTTCTTCTTCAGTAACTTCCACTTCAAAGTCCTCCTTTTCCTTCTTTTCTTCGTCACTTTTTAACGTCATCGTCACCTTTTTCCCGTCTCGAGTTCTTGATACTGAGCGCGACGAGCGCCGTTTCCTCATGGACGACGAATGATGACGTCGACGTCGACCTGTTGATCGAGAATGTGATCGAGAGCGCGACTGGGAACGAGACGCAATCGAACGCGAACGCGACGGCGATCGGCGTCGACTACCCGACGACTTTTTGCGCGAACTACGATGTTCCCGCTCACGCCGACGCGGGGATCGTGAGCGCCGGGAACTGCGTGATATTTTGGAGCTTTCATGGTCGTCTACACTGCGCGAAGTGTCCTTTTCGGCCTTTTCTTTAAGGTCCTTAGAAGTCTCTGCGTCTTCCGCGTTCTCGCCCTCAGTTCTACGTTTCTTCCAGCCAGACTCGCGCAGTTTGTTTCGAATAGATTCTTCATTGTCCTCATCGCGTGCAGGACTTGGGGATGTCCTGTATCGTGCAGTACGACGACTTGGTTCGTCCTCGTCTTCACGTCGTCTCATTCTTGCTCGAATATGATCTTTTTTTGACAAATGAATTGAATGGATTGTAGCATACATAAACCCTCTCAAATCTAATTACCTGCTCAAACAAATTTGAAAGACTATGGTGCTAAAACAACATGGCTGCATTTGTGATCTTGAAACGACGCATTTATCAAAAAAAGTCCTCATGGCAAAAAAACAATCTACCGAGCATTTGATGTGAGATGTTGTCACAATATGAAGAAATGAGGCGCTAAGAATGGCGTGACTGTCGGAACGTACGATGCAAACTACCAACAATATATCAAATCACTTTAATTTCGTGTCATTACCTTCTTTGCTTCTCTTGATCAATGGTCCAGTTATTTGCGTGACATTGAACGAATGCGCTGAATGGAACAGGCAATTCCAAGTGAAGCCACGAGATACATCAGCAGCTTCTTTTCGCGAGGATTCTTCACCCCACTGCGCCATCGAAGAATTCCGACCAATATGGCAACCACACCAAATTGTTGCAAGCGACTCAGCCATTTGCTGCTGTTTCTGTGATGGATAGGAGAATGACCTCGGTCTCCGCTATGTCCACTGACGTCCGTAGACACGATTTGGTCCTCAATTACAGGTGTCCTGTACATCACAAACGATGAGTTCTTCGCTTGACTTGCATCTTACCACCAACTTTTTTTACTTACAGGTGAATTTGGAGTCCATGGCGACTTAAAGACTTTCGCATCACCGAATCCGACGTCGCAACCCTAGAAACTCCAGGCGACGATGACGAAAGAAATGGCCGTGTGTCTCGTACAAAAGACTGCATATCTGACAGCGAATAATTACGGTTGGACTGTTTAAACAAAATGTTGCGTAGAAATCAGACCCCATCACGTGACAAAATCCCTTAGCTCGCTACTTACCTTCGTAGCAACTACTTTCAGAGACTTTAGTAGTGCAATAACGTCAGTGTAGTCGTCAATAAAGAATTCAGCTTTTGAGGGTTTCTGTCCAACCGTGCATGTGAATATCTTGTCTGCAAGATACAAGCGCATCGTTAGAACTGAAGGCGTCGTAATTTCACAACGGAGTCACACATACTTTTTGGGAACTCTTCGTGTGCGACCATTTGCTTAAGCTGATCGAACATAAGTTCATCAGCCACATCATCTCCAATGCATAAAACAAAGTCGGCTGGGTTCCCATCAACGCGCATCTTGTTCAGCAAATGCTCCACGATCTTACCCTTGCCGACACCCTCGGGTCGTACTTCAATGTAATCTTTCCCTTGAATAATGTTCAACGGCCAGCCCTGTTATGTAAGTGCAGCCAGAAAAACTATGTTAGATCTCTAGTCGCGCTTCTCTTATTATTAGCATGTACATCACCTCGAAAACACCCTCCAAATGTTCCTTTAGCTCAGCTGCCTGCAGTGTGCCGAAATCAAAATCGGACTTGCCGTAGCGGAAGAGCACGGCGCTTCTTCGCATTTCTAGCGTGGAACCATTCGTCCGGTCAACATAAAGCTGAATGATCTTTTCTGCTTTGACGCGCCAACGCTGGTGGCCTCCCTCTGTTTGCATAGTGTCGCCATGTCTTTCCCACGGGCGTCCGATGCGAGCATTGTTGCCTAGTACGGCAGGTCGGACAAAATACCCATGTTCAGCCACGAGCCCCAAACCTGGAACCCCACCAAACTTCTGTGTGAGGAGGTCGCAATTGCATCCACTAACGATAAACACTGTGTTACGAGGGTCTTTACACAACTGTTCAAGCGTGGTCAACGCACTCAATGGTACGTCCGGCCATCTCACGCCCATCACTTTTGTGACGTCCGGAGCCAAGGTTCGGTAGTAGTCCAAAAAAATCGCACGTTTCATGCTCGTACAATATCCCGGCACGACCTCCTGGTCCGTTAATTTCTGAATGAAGCATAGGCCAATACGCCATAATGGCATTTAGTGAAATAGTCAGATGCATTATATAGTCTCGTAACATGAATCATGCAGCTTACCCGAAACTGTGTGCTCACTTCCATCAAGCGAAAATCCAAGCCGAAGCCAGTGCCCATGTACACAAAAGACTCTTCCTTCTTCCGTGCGTTCACAATATCTGTGAGTACAGACCTAGCCCAGCGACGAGGAGGGTTTGCCGACACAAACTGAAAGTCGCAATTGCGCCGATACTCTCGCTCGTTGGCTGGCATGTATACGGCATCACGAAGGGCGTCGATGACTTGGTCCAATTCCCATGGGTTCACAGTCAGTGCGCCGCTCAGAAGGCGACTGCTACCGGAGAACTCGCTTATGATCAGAACACCAGGCGAAGTTCTATACAAACGATGGGTAACAAACGTTATACAAAATAGCATCGTAAGGTATGGCCGTTACACGCATAACTTACTTGTGCGTCGCGATATACTCAAATGGCGACGTGTTGAGTCCATCCCGCAAAACTGTCGTAATCTGTACATCGGCAACACGCCACAGCGCCACACGCTCTTTGTACTGGAATTCATTCACTTCTTCGTAGTCCACTACATCGCCCTTTGCAACGTCACGATACTTGTTATTGATGGCCTGTACCACCAGCTCAATCTCTTTTTTGCTCTGTAGATAGTCCGTCACGCGTCCGCGTCTATGGATTCCTTTCTGCACGAGCACCGCCTTGTTAATAAAGTCGGGACATCGCGAAAGGAACCCGTCAAAAGCCAACATCTTGGACGGGATGCCTTTGAGACGTTCGATGGTGTCACAGCCTGCAAAAATTCTCTTATCACGGTACTTTTGCCGCAAGGCCACCACCATATCACGAACATCTTTACGAGCCAAAGTATTTTCAATTCGTTCTGTGTCAATAGCCATGTGACTGCACGTCACAGCAATTCTTCGCCCACCGTAGTCAATCCCCAATTGTCCACGTAAAATGGGCTTATAATTCAGTCCCAAGATCCGTCGACATGCCGACATGAAATGCCGTGCGTACTCAAACAAGTGAAAACCAATATGGTCTGCATTTAACATGCCTCGTAATAGTTCTTTCCTCATCGACAAGGTACGAAAGACCTCCGACGACGGAAATGGCACATGCAGGAAAAGACCGACATTTGCCGCTCTTATCTTTCTCACAATATAGCTTGGTGTGAGCAATAAGTGATAGTCTTGTATCCAGACAACGTCTCCCACTTGATAAAGCTCACATATTTTGTGTGCAAAGAGCTGATTGACATTAGCATAAGCTTGCCACGCAACTTTCTGGGACCCAGGGTTCCAAAACTGGGCAGTAGGTGTAAGCTCTTGCTGTGCGTCTACGTCCAACACCACATCTACAGGGCTATATACGTCCACAACATTGTGAAACGTAGGCCACAATGTCTGTTTGCAATAATCTATGTAGTATAATCTAGCCTCTTCCGTCTCGAGGAAGACCGGATAGCAATTGAGTTCTCGCAGTAGCATTTCGACATCCTCGCGCTCATTTAGAGGCACATTTACGTCTGGTATACGACCGACAAATTTGATCGTAGCACGTTCCGATATTTCATAGTGAGAAAACGTGTTGGATGATTCAATCATGCGATCTCCAGCCCATTCGACCTGCCACTTGGTAGAAATTCCTTTGGTCTTGAAAAGACGTACAGGGAGACGATTAGCGGCGATAATCACGGGAATTTCAGGTGTCCACATGTCACTTGGGAAATTTGTATTGGAATGAGACGTTGAAGACGCCATAATGATGACGAACGACAACGTCTATAGATAAAGCGTGTCGAGCTTGGCAGTTGTTTGATTTTCTGTCAACTAACGAAACGGATGCATGGATAACGTAAAATAGTACATCGTACTAAAATGTACTGACGAGATTGAAGTACGGCTTGTATCGGTTTATGTCACGCTCTTGTCAAACACAATGACTTGACAAGATAGCAGAAAGTTGGACGTCACAAGACGTTGGGTATATTTTAAAGCTCTACACCACACTCTAATTCACAGGGAGCTAGCAGATCTGCTACTATGCCCCATACCTTACATCACCCGAACATATGAGAGGTTAAATATTTACGATGAACGGAGTCCCATTGGGCGAAGACTCGACAAACGTGTGGGGTGGCGCGTTGATATGATCCGAAGGCTGAATTTCCTGGATTGTATCAGTGCAATGTCGCCATTCAAGGCGATTTTTCTTAATCTTGGGTGTTCGTGAGGAACCCATAGACCGGCCACTGGCTAAGGAGCTGGTACTGCCGTGGAAAGTGACGACACTGATGGAGCTCGCACTGGGGTCGTTCATGCCAATTGATCGGCTCTTTGACCCAAAAAAGCCACTATCGTTAACGCCCATACTTATCGTGCTGCTACTTGTACTCACACAGCTCCACCGGCTGCTAGCAGAAGTCTCCATAGAGCCCTGGCGCGACCTACACTGTGATTCCTTCGAACTCTTAGACATACCACCATCGGATGCACCGAGAATGGCCGGAGATGCAAGCAAATCGAGCGTTGGCACGTACGAGAACTCTTCTGCAAAGCTCTCTGCGTCCGATTCTGATTCACTCGCATGATTTTCATCCAGTGCAGCAGGAAAGTTGCGTCGATCAAAACCTCCAATCGGTCCAATCGCATTTGGTGAGTCCATGTACGATGACGATGACATAGAATGTGACACAGAAGAGGACATCGACATGCCCAGCTGACTCACACCTGTAAACCGAGGACCAGTAGGATCCCACACTTCTTCGCGTCCAATCCGCTGCAGACTATTAATAACTTGCTGGATTGTAGGGCGCTCTCTTGGGTCTGCTTGCCAGCAAGTACCAATCAGCACTTTCCAGCGTTGTGGGCACAAATCCGAGCGAATGTTTGGGCGAACACCTTTCAATACGAAATCCTCCACCTCATGGTTCCATCGTGTATTATCAAACGGAAGCTTCCCTTCAATAAGTTCCCAAAGGATGAGCGCAAGACTGTAAATATCCACCTTACTCGTATAAATATGTTCGCCTCGCATAACCTCAGGTGCCATCCAGCGCGTAGTACCCACAAGTCCTGTCATTTCCACCACTGGTACCTTCACTGAATTTCTGTTTTTCGTTTGGGATGACTGAAGTTGTGCAGCGGACGACACGATCTCTGAAAAGCGAAGAGTACCAAAATCCGCGATTTTGGCATGCCATGAATCGTCCACCAGTACATTTGGTGACTTCAGATCTCGATGAATCATAGGCGGATTCGCATTATGCAAGTACTGGATACCGTGCGAAATTCCCAGCGCGAGACGAAGCTTCGTTGGCCAGTTCAGATTCTTGACATCTGGTGCTTGCGTCAGCACGTCCCGCAGCGAGCCACGTGCACAATACTCTGAAACAATACAGATCGAGCCTCGGTAGAATCCCGCCTCCATGAAGAGCACAATGTTTGGGTGGCACAAGCCGCGCATCACTTCTGCCTCAGCTTGGATCTCTACGTTACAGGCATGCTGGAACTCTTCCAGGTCTGCAGCACTCTCCAATGCCGCCAAAACTGCTTTCATCTTGACAGCAACATTGGCACCACGCCACTTACCGAGGTACACCACAGCCACACCTTCGCCAATCTTATCGCCAATTTCCAAGCCCTTTAGCTCATGATGTGACGGCGACATCAGCAGCTTCGGAACGGTGTCACCAGTATTTCCACCCACTATACCATTTGCTGTACCTGCTGTTCCATTGCCACCGCCACTCATAAATCGTCGGCTTCCATGCCTGTTGGGTCCGTTTGCGTGCTGGCCGTCAGCCAAGTCGTGTTGTCCTTGTACTCCACGAGTTGACTTTGCCCGGAAGAGCTTGAGACACAATGAAGGTTTCGTGAGGTAAATCACAGCGTTCACAAACGGCCACATGGCCAAAATCACTGAGCATGTCTTCATAACCAAACCAGAGCTGTGCAGTCCAACAGCTAGGTCTGTAACAACAATAGGGCCGACAAAGATGAAAAATGCCAACGTGTACGACGCCAATTTGGATACGACGTACGCCCCTTTACGTCGTTCTTGTCTTCTCCATCGTCTTGCAAAGTTCAACCAACAGAATGTGATAATGAGGAAACATCCAACCGCCATGATTTTCCAAATGATCGTGGCCGCGTATACAAACCCCTTGGTGTCGTAATAACTCGAATAAATCTCTAGTACCCAATAGAAGACAATAACCATCCAGATAATTGCATGCGCAATAGCCACATCAAAACTTGCTCGGTTCTTATGCTTAGCAATATACATTGCTAGTGTCGCAACCCAGCAAAAACTTGCAACTTGGGAGCACCAATGTGGCGCTTTGGCCCAGAACATGAGCTGAAAACTGTTCCCTGCTTGAGGGGCCCATAACTCCACTGCTGTAACGACTATTCCTGATAAAGAAAAGATAAAATCTGTAATACACATGACACGTAGAATCCTAGAAGCTACTGAGACGCGTGGTCGGTCATCGTCACTTTCGTTAGTAATCAAGTCAGGGCCTCCAATCGGTGCATAGAGTGCATTCTCCCTCTCTCTCAAAAGAATAGAAGCTTGTCGATTTCGTCGATATTCTTCGGAATCGTTTGAATCTGTGGCTGTAGTTTGACAGCTCATAGGAAGCACGTCATTTGGGAATGCAGGGGGCGTCGGGACGTAAGCTTGACAATTGCGTCCCATAAAACATCTTGAATGATCAGTGGCCGCTAGTACGGGCGTCTGGAGTTGCCGATGAGCACGCAATTGTTTCTTGAGGGCTACGACTTGGAGAATGTGTCGTGTACCGACAAAGGCACTCATGAGTGTAGAGAAGACCTGTGCTATCAGCTTTGCATAGAGTAACCCTTTATTACCATAATCTGAGCTTGTAAAAAAGTCAAAGTCATTGCTACTCTCATTGCTGGACATGATGAGCAAGTGCAGAGTTTTGGACAGAAAGCGGCAGTACCGTTATACCGGTAAGTGTATGTATGTGTGGGTGTGATAAATTACTTGGTCTTTGTGTTGCCCTGACTATTCTTAAATGAAAAGAAGCGGATGGTCTGTACTAAATACGAAATCGGGCCAGTCGACTAGTTGACTACGTGCTTAAACGTTCGATTTTCGACGTTCGAATTACAGCTTGAACGACGAGTGATGCTTTCATGTTGAATGTTGGAAGCACAAAGTAAAAGATAAAGCAAGAGATGATCGCTTTTGATATAGCTAATAATCATACATGGGTATCTGCGAAGCAAGTTCTCATGCATACGTACTTTTAAAGTCGATACGTTACGGGTTCGCCCTGCCAGTTAGTGATGATAGGCAAGTATCACTGGATTGACGCAAAGCTAAGTGCTATCGAAACCACACGTCTTGTAAATAATAAGGTGAAGCAGGACAGCGGAAGCCTAGCAGAAGAACGAAAAGTTGCCTCACGATTGTCAAATTGACAGTCAAATAGCTGTCGATATGCTGGTTGTAGCGTCGTCATGTGAGCCCGAGCGCGGCTTTGTTCCACCACCGGACCCGCCTGTCTTTACGCCTTGTAATAAGACGTGTCAATACAAAATAATGCTCTTTCTTCTCATCCAATCACATTGCTCACTTGACTGCACCAATTAAACAGGAATAAAACTCAACACGGACGTTAAATCAATACACTACACGACGCTACTTGAGTGGTATATGGATAAGCGATCATTGTTAGATTTTGACTACTTTTGGTACACTATTTTGAGTGCAGTAATGTAGACGGTAGACACGCGTGGTCATCTTGATCGTCAAGCGTGACGTTAAGAGAAAGCAGTAGGACTTTGGCGATTTCCTCTCAGCTCAGATCCTGCTGAGTCACTCTTTCCTTGTGGTCAATGGAAAGCACGCTTTGCAAGCACGATCACACAAAATGACGGACCCGCTTCTATCGGGACTGCTCCTAATGGAAGCGGGTCCGGGCTTCCGAAGCCACGTGCGTGCTGCTTCGGGCAAAATTAAGAGTTTGCGATCCGTCGACACTTTTCTTCCCACGCCATGCACAACGTACAAAAAAAGAGAGAAAAACGTTATGCTAGTGACAATGAAGAAGAATTCATGGACATCAATCATGTGTCATGGGAAAATCATCGGCGCTATGGGCGAGGAGCTCATGGGCATTGGCAAAGTTGTGAAATCCAGTGAGGAAAAAAGTCCAAAGGTAAGCATGATGGCCTACAAGGGAATCTTCGTCGTGCGACCTAATGTCGACATAGGCGACCCAATCACGGATAGCGCACCGCTGCATCGCGACACGGACAAACACATCCATATAAGTTTGACACGCTTAAGAACCATTACATGATTGGCTTTGTTGGAAATGCAAAGACTGAGTGTGAAACATCCCAAAAATATCTGACGTTAATTTCGATGACCCCGATGACGATAAAGAAGACAAAGATGATTCCATCAATAGCTCCATACATTGAGCAGCACGGTAAACCTAGTTCTGAGGCTCTCAATGCTGTCATTTCGATCTTAACTAGGGTGTAGCTGAAAGTCATTGCGCGCGCGGAGGAAATAAACCTATATGTGTCGGTATTTGTTATGCACATGTGTTAATGTGTCGGCAATGCGAGTTTGATATATACAGCACGACTCGTCAAGCTCTGACGATAAAGAACTATCTGGGCGCTATCGGTGAAGCTCATGAGGCGTATGATCTTCGACGCGGAAAAGAATAAGAAACAACTTGCTGTTCTGGATATGAAACACACAGTCACTGAGATAATTGGACCATCTTCAGTTCCACTTTCACAGCGCAACAAAAAACAGCATCATTAAGATCGTGTTGTTCCAACAGCACAACACAGCGGTAGCTAGCTACAAATTTGAGAAACAACAATCTGTTTGCCGCATCGGTCCATCACCATTAAGGTCTCAAACAATAAATTTATCGTCAAGAACTTAACATACATGATGTAACGGGCTAAAAATTATACGGTTCGTTAAGTATCGAATACTTAACGGGCAGGTCTAAAAAGGTACGTGGTTCCTTAGACCTGTCACTTAAGTGAGGCACACCAATGTGACCCACCCTCGTGAATGTGATATCCATGGATGGATTCACATTCAACGGGAATGACGCCAGCTGGGACTAGGCGTCATGGTGACGCTTCAGACGGACGTCATCAGCGAGCTTATATATATTTTAAGCTCGCACGTAAGGATACGCTTCTAAAGAGACGCGTATGCGATCTTTAGATATAATCTATCAGTAGTTAGATTTATATTTAGTTGAAGCCCATTCAATATAAGTCAGTCTTGAATTTACTAACTATTGCACACTGCGCACGAGAATCTTGATAAGCTTCTGCGTGACGTAAGTGATACACCTGTTAGTTGTTCGTTGCGCGGACCCCTCTAAGTGGACGGCAACAGCTTGGTTTGGCGCTTTAAGCGGCCGACCAACACCATCACCACCGCACGCGGAGGTAAGACGGTATGACCGCTTCCTCACGCTGCTTGAAGGTGTGTGCTTGCGTAGTAAGTGGCAGCTTCTTTTGAAATGCCCGTCTACACTTGGTAGCACTAGTAGTCCTTCCCACGACCCGTCTCTCTGAGCGTGCGTGTGGTTAAGATGGTTCTTAACATGGACTGGAGTGACTTCCCTCACCTCTCCCAAAACCATAGGGAGTTGGCTGAGCATTTGGCGGCGCAGGTACTTAATGAACAAGCCCTGGTGTGGTGGAGTGGGTTCTCAAAATTGTATGATGAGACCCTAAACCACTCACTGTGCCGGACTGCCGACTGTCGGAGGGGGTACCCCGATGCCGCGTATGAACCTTCTCTCACCTTGTGTACCCGTCAGCTGGCGGGTTTCACTCTTCGGAGGACTTGGTGATGATGTAGACGTCTGCCTTGAGGGAGGTAGACCTGGGGGGGGGGCCTCGAGTGGATATGCTTCACTCGGTGGGCCGGTAAGTGGCCACTCGATTGACCTTGTCGAGAGTGGACTTAGAGCCAAATTCTTCAGGGCGCTTGTCGTCCCTGGCCTTTTCCTTCTTGTTTCAGGGGTATTAACCACCTGACCTTTACGTTGCTCCCGGACCTTGAGGTGAGGGAGACCGCTTCCGATAGCGGGTCTTGGGGGGTGTTTCTACTCGAACGAGCTCACAGGCCAAATATATCCTGGAGCTCTATTCGCACTTGAACTTCGCTACACAACTATCTTCGACGGGGGGCCAAAATATATCCCTTCCCGGAACAGTGAGTAACTTAGAACAAGCTCTTCTTAGGTGACGGAGTCGTGCCACGTAGATCGCAAATTGAGTAGTATTTAATATAGTCCTATCCTTTTAACTCCTTTACTCTATCCTTGCCTGAAACTCTGATTCCTTGCGTCGACTAGTCTGATCCTTGTATTAACTGGTCCGGAGTGGCCGAACCCCGAGGGGCCGAGGTCGACTGATGAGGGACCCAGGTCAACCAATGAGGGATCGGGTCGACTAACGAGGGGCCGAGGTCGACCAATGAGGGACCCAGGTCTACCAACGAGGGACCGGGTCTACCGACGAGGGACCCAGGTCTACCGATGAGGGACCGGGTCGACCAATGAGGGACCCAGGTCGACAAATGAGGGACCCAGGTCGACCTATGAGGGACCCGGGTCTACCAACGAGGTCGATCAATGAAGGGCCATGACCAACTCCCTTTGGTACCGGTTAACCGGTACCCTGATACTGATTTTTCTTCGGTGGGTCCTGCGGATTGCTCTCCACCAACGGTCGCTCCCCCTTCGAGGCCCCTGTCTCTCTGGTCCCCTGTCCCTGACCCACGGTCTATACTCCGAATCCAACTGGATTCTGGGACCTCCACATCACCAAATTAGCACTTCACCACAGCCGCCCCTGCACTTGCTCAACCGTACAACGGATTGAGCACGCGCATGTCTTCACTTCCTTCGATACGTAGGTCCTTTACTGTCCCCTTTGTTGCTCATCCATCTCTAACTCGTGTCTGTTCAGCCATGTCTTCCCTTGCCATGTTTTCCTCTGTTCTAGTTGATCTTGGTAATCTTCCTCCTTTGTTCTCCATTCTTCTATACTCCTAACTCGTGGAAGTTCGAGGTCGCCCCGTAGGCGACCCAAGTCTTCCAACGAGGGGCTGGGCCGACCAATGAGGGACCAGTTCTATCAATAAGGGACTCGGTCTACCTTTCAAGGATCTTCATACCGTCTGCTAGTTTTCATGGCTTTGCATTACTTCGAAGCGGTTATGGCTTGTCTCTATACCGCTGGGTAGTACCAGGCGGCGTGACTGTGACCCCCGCCGGTGGCGATATGGCGTACAGCGACAGTATCGCCGGGCAAGGGAACAAGTCAACGAGTTATTGCGATCAGCAATGGAAAGTCGAGCCAAGATCCACAATGAAGAGGTGGCGGATAGCATGATTGAGGCAGAATCTCAGGTGTGGTTGTATCTAGACCGGGTCAAGGAAGGCTATGCCCGAAAATTGGCCCACCTATGGCATGGGCCATTCCGAGTACGGGAAATGGTGGGGGACCATGCAGCTCGCCTGGATATCAGTGGGACAGATTATCGCATTTACCCGTTGTTGCACCTTTCGAAGTTGAAGCTAGTCCGGCAATATCACGACAGACCGAATACGGTGTTGGCGGTGGACGAAACAGATCGGGTGGATTTTGACGAAGCCCTGTTACCAGAGGATAGTTGGGATGCAGAATTGGAAGACAATGAGTATGAAGTGGAGATGATTCTTGACAAGTGCATGGGAAGAAAAACTCGGTATGGTCGTATTCAATGTGAATACCTGGTCCAGTGGAA